AGATCAATGGCCAAAGAATTGACCTCATGGTTCCTCTACCAGATGATAGCAGGATACCGCCATGATTCAATCTATTTCAAAGCTATGGACAGCTCCCAACATGGAGATCTCACCCCTTATAACATATCGAAAAGAATGGTATATACCTGCACCTATTATGTTAAACATTACCTATACATCCCAAAAGGCCATATGTTCAATGGAATGACTATTAGAGAATATGTCATTACAGAAATCCACAATAAAGGACACCATAGTGCTGACCTTAACCTCCAATATGCCTCAGAATATGTTTACCGGCCTGAAATGCTACAGGACTTCCGCAATTTCGTCAATCAATGTGAACTCTCCCAGGCCAATAAGGAACGAACACAACTACCAGAAGGCAAAGCTCAAACCCTTCAGTTACCTTGCGAAATATTCGAATCCTTGCTATTGATTTCACTTGGCCATTCAACAAGTTCTCCTTTTATGACTCTATCTTGGTAGCTGTAGATCCGCTTTCTGGATACACATGGCTCATACCAATAAAGGTTACCGACTCCTCCAAAGACACCTGGAATAACCTTCAGTGATACCTATTTACCCCATATGGATACCTATTGTCTACTGTCAGTGATGCTGATCCCTACTTTACAGCCAGTTTCTGGAAACAGACCTTGACCTCCGTTAGATTCAATCACATTATGGCCGCTCCTGAACATCATGAGACTAATGGCCAAGCTGAACAAAAGATCCACACAGTTAAGACCAGAATTAGGAACATTATCAATGAATGACAGACCAACTGAGAACTAGCTCTCACTGAGCTCGCCGAATATATCAATGCTGGATATTCAGACACCTTAGGAATGTCTCCATACAAGGCAATCTTCAGCCGCCAATACCCTCTCCTACCTACTACCCTATTCAAGTACTCCTCAATCCCTGCCTCAGATGACAACCTAAACCACCATCAAACTATCCAAAATGATACCTTCCAAGCTGTTAATACTGCCTGATTCCGGAGTACCACTACAGCTCAGAAGCGACGACGTAAGCATGTTCCTATCCCACCAGGTGATATGCTTATGGTGCATGGAAACATGTTTATTACCAATGTTGGACACAGCGAGAAGCTACAACCCCAATGGCGAGGACACTTCAAGGTCTTATCCTTTGATGAACATACAGAAAACAACACTGTCCCAGTGGATAGACGCATGTACCGCCGCAATACTACCCTTCTACACACCTCTGCTGTTAAGCGATTCCACTCAAATGACAACTCCAAGTTCCCTGGAAGAATCCACCCTCGACCCGCACCTATCATCATCGAGGAGAAGGATGAATGAATGGGAAGTTGACAAAATCTGAGACCACCGCCTTTGGCATGGGAATGACCAGTTGCAGGTCAAATGGAAAGGATACCGAATGAGCGAAAATAGCGGGGAACTACTAGAAGGACTGGAGCACACTATGGATATGGAGAATGAACAGTGGAAAGAAAACATGCCAAATGAATCCCTCCCTCCAACAATCAACTACATCACAATATCCTGGACACCAACGATGCCAGAAACCGACGGCTGGCAAATTGAACTCGAAGCTAGGGATGGGTTTTGGGCACCATACTTTGAGTCAGATTTCGAAAGCAGGGATGAGGAAAACCAGGCTATGGAGTATGCCCTCAATGCCCTCATCTAATTGCTATTCACCATCCGAATACCATAACGATGTCAAACTATGTAGAACTCAACCTGAGGCTGCGACAACATCTTGTTGGACTGTTGTTGAACAGTGATGTTATCTAACTTGAAGACTACTTTGCTATCCTTTGGGTAAACTATTACCCTGACTACAATAACGCTTGGGTCGATGCACAGTATAAATCTGGTATTCATGACTACTGTGACCTACATTTCTTAAAGTCTCAATGTTTTCTTAGAATTTCCTCTTGTCCCTGATATGACACTTATGATGAAGAACTCATAGTGGAAACTGAAGCCTTTAGTTTCTCAAACTCTGCTTTTAACGCTTATTAGGTTTTATTTGTTTAAACAGTTGTTTTGTTTTGGGGAATGTAACTGGTATAGGTACTGGGTTATTGGTTTTGTTTTTATGTTTTGTTTTATATTTTGTTTTAAGTATTGCTTTGAAACTTAGTTTGTTTTAAGTATCATTTGATACTTGATTTTGTTTTATGTTTTGTTTTAAGTATTACTTTAATAATTAGTTTGTTTTAAGTATCGTTTGATACTTGATTTTGTTTTATGTTTTGTTTTAAGTATCGCTTTAATACTTGATTTGTTTTAAGTATTATTTGATACTTGGTTTCATTTTGTATTTTGTTTTAAGTATCGTTTTGATACATAATTAGTTTTACCAAAGTGTATCGCTTAATACCTTTGATTAGTTTCGTTCATACTAGACATGAACAGATTTGTGTATTTAAAGACCACCTGATTCCGCTATGGAAAAGGCAGACTTCGACAGACAGTACTTCAATATACTTATTTGAACAGTTATTTCTTTGTTCCTCAGTACATCCTCGAAGTCTCATTTAGTTCTCAGCTCTCACCTCCTCTCTGGATGAGCAGGCTACCAGCCAACTATGATATCTATTATTGATAATGTGATTAGCATTTTGCAAACACATTACAACAATGTGTTGGATGCCGACGATGCCAGAAACCGAACACTGGCAGGTGGAACTCGAGGCTCGGGATGGGCTTTGGGCACCATACTTCATGTCGGAATTTGGGAGCAGCAATGAGGAGAATCAGACTATGAAACATGTTCTCAACAACCTTATCTAAGTCAACATTCACCATCCAAATACCATAACGATGTGAAACTATGCGGAACTCAATGTGAGGCGGTAACAACAGCTTGTTGGACTGTTGTTGAACCGCAATGTTATCCAACTTGAAGACTACTTTCCTATCCTGTGCATAGACTATTGCCCTGATTGCAATAACATCTCGGTAGACGCACAGCATGAATCTGGTATTTGTAACTACTGTGATCTGAATTTCTTTAAGTCTCGATGTTTTCTTAAGATTTCTTCCTGTCCCTGGTGTGACACTTATGATGAAGAGCTCATAGTAGAAACTGACGCCCTTAGCTTCTGGGATTCTACTTTTGACGACAATTAAGTTTTGATTGCTTGAACAGTTGTTTTGTTTTCAGGAATGTAACTGGTACAGGTACTCAGTTATTGGTTTTGTTTCATGTTTTAAGTTTTGTTTTAAGTATCATATTGATACTTGGTTTGTTTTAAGTATCGTTTGATGCTTCGTTTTGTTTTATGTTTTGTTTTAAGTATCGCTTTAATACTTGGTTTGTTTTAAGTATCTTTTGATACTCAGGGTTGTTTTATGTTTTGTTTTAAGTATCACTTTGATACTTGGTTTGTTTTAAGTATCGTTTGATACTTGATTTTTTTTTATGTTTTGTTTTAAGTATCGCTTCGATACTTGGTTTGTTTTAAGTATCA